GTTAGTATGTTATAAATTATAAACTGAGGATTTGACCGCGTCGCTATGGTTGATACTTTTAGAAACAGGCTTTTATATAAAATCTTGAAGTATTATACAAGTAAAACTACATTTTGCTTTAATCCCATGTAATTGTAGAATGAACAGTCTTCCTTTGAAGATGTATAAGTCAGGTGTCTTGAGTAGTCAAAATGACCTACAAATCATTGTTCTACACATTTGTAAATATTAGTTACCTTTGTGAGTCTATTTTTATGCAGCTCTGCATGATTTTGTGGCTACAATTCAGGATAATACGCTACCAGAGGTGGAATAAGTACTCAGATATTGTACTTGAGTAAAAGTAGAAGTACTCAGATCATGTTGTGAAAGTAGAAGTACTCAGATGTTGTACTTGAGTAAAAGTAGAAGTATTCAGATCTTGTACTTGAGTAAAAGTAGAAGTACCAGAGTGTAGAAAAGTATTATCATCAAAATATAGTTAAAGTAGCGACAGTAAAAGTAGTCATTGTGCAGATTGGTCCATTTCAGAATAATATATATGATATGTTTTATAATGATTGATCATGAAAGTGTTCTCAAAGCTGGTAAAGGTGCAGCTAGTTTGAATGACTTTGTATACTGCAGGGTATCTTGTGGATTTACTCCAGGTGGAACTAAAGTCTGATTTAACACTTGATTATATTTCACATCATTCATCCAGATATGTAAAGTAACTAAAGGTATTAAATACATGTAGTGGAGTAAAAGTACACCATTTACCTCTGACTTATGTTTACTGCCAACCTAAAAGTACCTCAAAAATAGTCATCAATAATGTATTGAAAAGTTATTTGGCTGATTGTTTTATATTGGCTCAGCCAGGTTATATGGGATGCCACCTATGGTGACGGTCTCCTGGCGGGATGGGATGGCGCCCATGGGCACGCCCATCAGGAGATAGGCCCTGCCCCTCCAGCGTGACAGAGAGTGGAGGCAACGCTGCGACACCCTGACTTTCCTGTGCCACTTGGCGTCCAAGTGAAGGCTGTTCAGCCACATCTGCATGGGGCGCAACGACAGCGGGCCTAAGGGCCCAACGGCCGAGGCAACCGTCAGTCTGCCCAAGGGCCGGAGGAACTGAATATCAGGCACCATCTTGCCCGGCCCACGTGGAAGTAGGCATCCCTACAGACCAATCCACCTTAGAGGACAGCTTGTTCTAGTCCTCTACCTGGGGGGTGAACCCATAGCCATCACTCCATCAAGTCGCCGGGAATGGCCAGACTGAGCTGGAGGAAGTTGTGACGAGAAGAGGTGCCACCTCTGTGACTCTATAGCCACTCTGAGCGTCCGAGGCATGAAGCTACAGCTCATGCAGGCCAAGGCAGAGGGGGGCAGCGGACATGGCCGTCCTCAGGCTCAAGAGAAGCCATACAGACGCTACATGAATGAACCATTCTGTAGGTAGCCGGATGCAGCGTAGCCGGGAGCGGGTGCGAGAATACTATCTTCACTGGTTGAGTTCATAACGTATGCCAGGTGCAGCGTACCCGGGAGCGGGTGCGAGAACACAGCCTTTACCAGCTACCTGCTGAACGGAAAGAGTAGAGCAATGCTCCTACTCGCCGAACACAGAGAGGGATGTAAATAACCTACACCCACGTTACTAGCAGAGGGAGCGGGAGCGAGAGCACTGCCTTCACCTAGCTGGATTAAATAAAGAAGCTTAACGGGGCAGCTTAGCCAGGCGGCTGCTGCTAAGAATCAAGCAGCACGTCTACCAGGAGCAGGGGCGAAAAACACTGCCTTCACTGGATGAGTTAAACAATGAAGCTCAACAGAACACGCCAGATGTTAGCCAAGCGGCCGCTGCTAACAATCAGAGCAATACGTTACAGGGAGCGGGAGCACTGCCTTCACCAGCTGAGTTAAATAATGAAGCTTAACAGTACATGCAAGGCGTTAAAGCGGCTGCTGCTAACAATCAAGTGAGATCAAGTCAAATAACACAAATGTTTAAGACCAGATAACTAGCTTCTAAAGAAGAGAACAGCACAGAGCCGTAGTTACAGTAGTAACCATGGCCAGTGCTTACACGGCATAGAACCGTAGTTACAGTAGTAACTATGGCCAGTACTTACATGGCTTAGAACCGTAGTTACAGTAGTAACTATGACCAGTACTTACACGGCTTAGAACCGTAGTTACAAAAGTAACCGTGGCCGGTGCTTAAAAGTGTCAGCCAAACGACTGGACACTAGATAATATAATATTGGGAGGATGAAATCCTCTTTAATGGCCACACATGCAGAGCACACAGCATACACAGTGAAGATTGTTCTCTGCATCTACCCATCCTATTGCTAGGAGTCTAGTACTAGGAGCAGTAAATACAACGATATAGCGCTACTGCAATCAAAACCATACGTTACCGGGAGCGAGAGCACTGCCCTCACCGGCTGAGTTAAATAATGAAGCTTAACAGTACATGCAATGTGTTAGCCAAGCGGCTGCTGCTAACAATCAAGCGAGACCAAGTCAAAACACAATGTTAAGACCAGATAATTAGCTTCTAAGGAAGAGAACAGCCCGCATAAAACCGTAGGCCATGGTTACATGGTATAGGACCATAGTTAGTACTTACCTTACTCTCTGCATCTAAACAAAAAACGGGCAAAATATGGCACCCTGGGCTTTCCATACTAAATTGAACGAGAGACGCAGCTAAAGCTGGGAACTCAAAATACTAATGATAGCTCTGGCACAACTCCACAAGCAGAACTTTCAAAAGAACATAATAAGGGCAACTTTATGGGAGAGGAAGCGGGAACACTGTCGTCACCAGAAAGTCTAAGCCAAACAATAAACAAGACAGCAATCAAAACAACTTAGCTGTGAGAGGGTGCGGGGACACAACCATCACCAACAACAAGTTGACACAAACCTGTCCGTCCAGGCTCTGCACAGCGCACAGCCGGCCACAGCTCCTGGAGGACGCGTTAACAACCCGTAGCTCCGACTGTCAGTCGTGAAGCTGCATGCGGCCAGCTGCTTGCAGAGAAATCCCTCAGATCAAATGGTCAAACCTGAACGCTGTAGGCTACAAGAATGTAGCCGCGGTACTCTCGTACAGCGAGAAGATGAAAAGGAACAGATCCTCTGATGACGCCGGCCTGTGTAGCCGGTGTCACGTGGGTCACAGGTGACTTATTGGTACTCGAACTGCGCATGCGTGCGATGGATATATCCAGTGCTAAAGCACCGCCTCTGGCGGTCAGTAGGGACGAAATAGAACTTGCCCGTCAAAAAAGAAAGGGGCCAACTAGATTTAAGCAAGCCAATCTGAAATTTCCATTGGATAAATACTGCAGTGATGAATATGTTTCAGCTGGCAAAAAGTTATTTAACCCGAGCTGATGTTTAGTTTTTCATTTCTAAAACAACCATGTGGGAAGACACATCCTGCAGGCCAATCATTTGACCTTTCTGAAATTGATTAACAAAGAACACAACTAAGAAGATTGCTGAAACTACTGAAAAATAACCACAAAAGGAGCTGCCTAACCCAGCTTAAATTTAGAGTAAGCTTATCTTCACCCTAAATTCAAGATATCTTCAAATAATTTACTAGTTTTATTATCTCTGGTATTTCTTCACACCTTTATTGGTGTTTTATATCAGTTATAATGCACACAATTTATTGTTGCAAACCTATAGAATGTTTTAAATACAATGCGTCTCCTGTAATAAATAAACAGGTAACTGCGAGTATTTTATTGCTAAAATAAAACAGGCATAACAAGCATGGTTTAATCTGATAGACACCGGGCATACAAAGCTGCACCTTTTTGAGTCACGCTCATGTGTCTTCATCTGTTTTTGATCTCCCTGTGCGCCTGGCCCCTATAAAAAAGAACATACTCCACATTATTCCATGATGTAAAATCAAAACAAAGGAGCCTTGTTTACAGTGCTTTGTTCATCTGATAACCCTCTGCACAGAGCAGATAAACATGTGCGCCTGAATGCAAAGCACCAGCTCTCACCGCAGCGCCAAGCAGGCAAAACGTTTAACATTTGTAACCACAAGTTTGTTGTCCTATATATGAACCCTGATAGTGCTTTAAAAAATCTACATATAGAAAAGAATAAATGGATTTGTCTAGGGTGAAAAATCGACAGAATGGAGCTTAGTGGGTTCCCCTCTAAACTCCATTCTGCCAAGATTAAAAACATTTGGTAATAATGTAATGCTTTATAAATGTGTCAGTTTACAGATGGATGCAAACACAGTTGATGAGAGATCCTAAGTGAAACCGCTCTAAAGTATTAAAATGTCTATATTGTACCCTATTCAATTGAAAGGATATTAATAATTCACTTACATACATTACAATAATTCAATATTACAGTAATAATCCAACGCCGCTTAAATCATTTCTGTATTCTTTCGTAATTGCTTTGTCTAGAGGGGTGCCCAAACTTTTTTCACTGAGGGCCACATACAGAAAAACATACGAAGGGCTGGGCCCCTCACTAGAGGTGAGGAATACTGCCTCATAAGTTCAGTTATAAGTTAGAAAAATCAGTGAAATGTAGGTAAAGAATGCTTGATTATTGAATATGCTTAAAGAAGAAAAACAGCCTTCACAGCTCTCTGTAGGGTTTCATTTATTTTGTTACAAAAAGCTCATCCCTTAAAACAGAAGCTTCAGGTTGCTTATAGTAACTATGGAACTATGAAGGGTCTATTTCAAGCTTGTTATGTAAATAAGTTGTTTGGCTTTATTAATCAACTAACATTTTTTACAAACATTTTTTACTTTAATTGACTGAATTTATTTGAAAAGTGGGCTTATTAACACATGAATATTAGTGTGTACTATATGTTTACATATTTATTTCAGAAGTACAATATAATAAAAAGCATAGGTTTCACACTAACGCAATACAAAATTGTGAGAGCTCTATATCAGAGAATAAACAAAATGATTGTATTTCTGAATTTTCCTTTAAAGCTGCCGGACTCTGAGTCTTTTCCCCTGCCGAAAAACACCTCAGAGAAATGTCAGCGCTGTGTGGTCATGGGAAATGGAGGCATTCTCAGAGGCCTGGAGCTGGGGAAACTCATCGACCGCTTTGACACCATTATCAGGTTCGGAACAAAAAACACCATAATGTTTCTTTATTAAAACAATTTAGAATTTCCCCACATATTGTCTTATACAATTACAGATAACCACTGTGAATAACCAACAGTGGTGGAAGAAATACTCAGAGCCTTCACAAAAGTAGTATTAATATGGTCTAAATATACTCCATACAAGTAGAAGTCATGAATTTCAAATGTTACTTCGATACAGATTTTATTATCAGTAAAATGTACCTCATGTATCAAGAGTAACAGTATTCTTTTATACAGTATTTTAGAATAGTATTACTTCATTTTAATCACTATATGTAGTCTGTCATCATGGAGCAAATTTGAGTAAAAAGTAAAATATTATGTATATTTTAATTTAAAGTATTGCATCCAGTGGTGGAATGTAGTTAAGTACATTTACTCAAGTACAATTATGAGGTACTTTACCTTCATTGATTTTGTGCTACTTTACACTTCTACTTCACCACAATTTTCTGAGTTACTTTACATACTAGATTATAAGCTAATACAAAATGTAAATATAAATTGACATAATTATAAGTAGATGTATGAAACAGCAGCATACAAAGTAAGTCAACTTGGCTCCACCTTTACCAGGTGGACATATTAAATCATCAGTAATTTAATATTTATGATTCCAATAAATACTTTTACTTTGCGTACTTTAAGTATGTTGTTATGCCGATACTCAAATGCTTTACTTAAACTGGACCTATCATGCTATATTTGAAACATATATTGTAGGGCCATACCTATATAAAACATGTCTGTGAAGTTTTTTGTTCAAAATACCAAACAGATCATGCATTTTAGCCATGCCTCATTTCGCTCTATTTGCTCTTTTCCAGCCCTGTTTTTGCAAGGGCTGATTCTGCTTTTGAGGCAGACTACAGCGCCACTTACAGGCCTGGCATATGTACTACAGCATCTCCAGCGCTTTTGAGCGGTCTCTCATTCCCCTGATAGGTGGAGAGTTGCCCACATAGGTAGGGTTGGGTATCGTTTGAATTTCCACGATTCTGATTCCGATTCCAATTCTACTTTTCGATTCCGGTTCTTAACGGTTCTCAATTCCGATTATTTGAGGGGCAGGGTAATGATACATGCTTCTTCCACCAAAAAAATTACATTTATTCGAGAAACTTTTACACAGGTTAGTTTACAGTAATATTCACATTAATCAGTCTGTTTATATTCACTGCTATGTAACTGTAACCTGAGAACCACTGAAGCTACATAAGTGCAACAGTCCAACTTTTAAAGGAACCCCCCCTCCCATTTAAAAACAGTTCTTGTTGAGAAAAATAAGCATATCTGCCTTCTCAGGCATACCGGGAAGAAATGTTTGAACATTTTAAAGTAAAATGCTTCAATCTGGTGCACTTTAAGCAGAATTACTAGAGACTAGATCTAGGGGGTACAACTCTAAACACCCATATGAAAAAGATTGGTTTACATTTGAATAATTAAATAAGTATGTGAACATAACCAATAACCTACCATAGCCAATAACAAATACATGTAACGTATTTTATTTTTGTTGTTCATTCATATCTTATTTTACTATTTTATATATGCATATGTTTTTATCTCTCCAGTTTAAAACGATATGTCTGGTTTACTGTCCTATAATATACATTGGAATGATTTCAAACCTGTTTTATTCCAATAATTATAAAAGAGTGCCTTGGAAATATGTGTTTACATAAATTGTGATCAAAACGTTTGAACTTAGACTAAAGTGAACTATCTAAACACTCAGAGTTCTTTACCTCACTGAGCTGTAGTATCAGCCATTCAGTCTGACTGGAGAGGCCTCTCCCTCCACATCATTGTAGAAACATATTCTTCTTCCGTTAGAGCAGCTAGCACCAGATGCTAATAACAACAGCGCCGGTACCGGTGCACCCTCCCTCTCTCCCTGCTCGCTCCCACGCTCACTCGCACTTTGGCTGTGAGCTGCGGGTGCCAGATAAGCCAACATCCCCCACTTTCATCACTTACAGCGCCCATCGTACAGGGTGAATGAAACGTGTAACCGGGGTGAAAAGGGTGTTACCTTGACTTAATTATGAATGTTGTTACATCAAGGCTGAACATTAGGATGAGCAACAACGGTCAAAACATTTTTTTTTTCTCCCAGAGCTGTCAGCGCAGCGCCTCCACAGATCTGGCGCCCTAGGTGAACATCTATAACGCCAGTGCACGGGCCGGCCCTGGTCTCAGGTTACGCTGTAGGAAGTGTAGGTACAACGCTACATTTCCCGCCCCGCCGCAGTCATACAGTAAGCTACGGAGAGCGGCGAGAAACATTTCCTCAGGCATCGAAAAGCGGAACCGAAATTCACATTTCTAAATGATGCCGTTGGAATCTAAATGTTGTCGGTACCCAACCCTACATATAGGTGGAGCACCCTTTTTCTGACGTCAGAAAAATTCAAATAATAATCAGCTCCGTTGCAGCCCCGTTTTTAGAGATTTGGGTATGGAGGAAAAGAGAGAGGGTTGTGATTTCTGACACTTGGTGAGTTCCCTGACACACCGGGGACACATATTCATGTATAAAAGACGTACAAAAGTGCATTTTGCATGATAGGTCCCCTTTAAGTAAGAGCTTGAATAAAGGACTGTAACAGAGTATCTTTACAATTTAGTATTGCTACTTTATTCCACCTCTGGTTGCATCTTATGCTGTTGTTCATATATATATATATATATAGTAGCTTATAACAATGCCTGTCGAAAAAAATGTGTGATCTAAAATGTAGTAGAGTACACATGTGTAGCGTAAAATAACAATACTCAAGTACAGTACAAGTATATTTAAATAGTACTTAAGTACAATACTACTTTGTTAAATTCCATCACTGATCACCAACGGAGCCGGTTGTTGTTGTTTTGTTGTTTTGATGTTAAGACGATGGCTGTGTGTCTCAGGTTGAACAGCGGCCCTCTGGGAGAGTTCAGTATTGACGTGGGGAATCGGACCAGCATCAGGATGAGTTACCCAGAAGGCACCCCGCTTCACTGGATAGACACAGACCCACACACTCTGTTTGTAGCGGTGGTGTATAAAGGTGTGGACGTCAGCTGGATCTCTGCCATGATCAGCAAGCTCTCCGTGGTGAGTACTGCCCGAGTGAGTGCTGTGTTCATTATTCACACTGCTGATGGGGTTTTTTTAAACAAAATAAATTAGCAAAGTAGCTAATCCTCGTCTTTCAGTTTTCTGAAGCCACATAAATGAAGGGTGTCCAACACTTATTTCAGAAAAGCCCACAGAAAGATGGTGTTTAGTTTAAAGTGGACCTATTATGCTATATTGGAAAAATATATTTTAGGGCCTACCTATACAAAACATGTCTGTGAAGTTTTTTGCTTAAAATACCAAACAGATCACCCATTGTAGCCATGCTTCATACTGCTCATACCCCTCTATTGCAGCCCTGTTGCAAACAGGCTGATTCTGCTTTAAATGCCACGCCCCTTTGTAGCGTCACGCAGCTTTCCCCTGCTAGAGAGAGATTTCTACCGGGAGATCTCAGCTAAACGCTGCGGTGATTCAGGCCCAATCCCAAACCACACCCTACCCCTCCGTGACGGAGTATTTATTTATTTATTTATATATTTATTTGACAGGGACAGTGCACATTGATTGACATTTCTGTAAATGCGCCAGAGTTAGCCAACAGGCTATTTTTCGTCTGGAGTGAACTCCGTGGAGTGACACTCGCAACTCAATGAGGCTCCCTCCTGTCAGATGGAGGGAGTAAATACAGCGGCAAGCTTTGGGGCGGCCTCCCCTCTCTCCGGCAGAAACAGGAAATGCCATAACTGTATGTAACAACGGTTTCAAATCAGCATCTCTTAGACAAAAAATTAAAATGTATAACTAAAATAAAACTCCAAACATCTTTAATTGTGTTACTTTTTTGTAAAGCTCTTTTAGTTTTAAACCTGATGTTTATAAGCCTCTTAATTTTTGCAACAGTCTGTAAATATACACAACTTTATAATAAAATGCACACATTTACCTTTTTCTAGACTAAACACAGGTATACGATCCTAAGTTAAAAAAATATGAGGTTATCATGAGGTTGTTAACATCGCAATTTATCAGTGGATGTTTGCTGGAACTACTTGTAAACAGCTTGTTTCCTGATGGACACACACAGCGTTGAGACAGCCTCGCTGTTTGATGGCTTCATAGCCCACTCCCCCTCCACACCGCTCCACACTCGTTGGTTTGGAACAGCACTTAATGTGGCGGACCCGCAAACGGAGGGGTAGTGTGTAGTGTATAGGGGGCGGTTTGGGATTGGGCCTCAATGCCATATTATGCTAACCACTTCAAGCTTTATTTCTGAAACAGTATGGAGCTCAAACCTTTCTATGTCGCAGGGTTTACCACAAGGACATTACGTTACACATATTCTCTCCAGTAGCCTTCTGAGTGTTAGCATGCTTGCTAATGTAAACACACAGCATATTACTCCCAAAACACCCCGCGCATTGTTTCTGATACAGCACATAGCTTGACATGTTCTTTCTTAAGTGTTTACCGCTAGAACAGTGCCATTATTTGTATTATATATATACAACAACTTTACTCTAAGCCTCCAGCAGACATCCTGCTGAATACACAGACACACAGCTGCGACTGTATACGGAGACAATAGGTTGGGACGTGTCACGTGTTCCGGAGAATATAAGTTGGGACGTGTCACGTGTGCCAGAGACGATAGGTTGGGATGTGTCACTGTCACTACCCGATCCGCATCCCTTCCCGATCCGCATTGCGCATGTGCAATATGGTCCGCCATATTGGACAACTCCATACCGCAACTCAAATAGGACATTTGACGTCTAGACGGCTGCCCGATTTGCATTGTGCATGCGAGAGTCATAAACGTCTCAAATATCTATACAAACATCTTTTATGTTATTTTATTTCATTTGAAATAAAATTAAGGACATTCACAGTTAATGTAATTAGATATAAATTATGAATGCCATACATATTGCATACATTCACAGTCAATATTTATTCAGTATGATAGCTGTCTAACCGAAGTTAAATCAATTTCTCACTTATTCTGACAATGTACTTAACCCAATAAAAGGACCCAATAAAAGGAGTTGTTAGTCACGTGACATTCACGTCGGCCGGATGTCGCCAATGACGTTATAGGAGCGAAAATTCTGGATCTGCTTGTCAGCACCCCCCTTTTCTTTTCTTTTTTGAGATGTGGGTACGGAGGAAAAGAGAGGGTTTTGTTTTCTGACACTTTGTGAGTTCCCTTACACACCAGGGACACATATTTATGTATAAAAGACATCAAAAAGTGCATTTTGCATAATAGGTCCCCTTTAAATGAAAACAAGTATTTATTTAACAAATAACTAAGGTTGACTTTCCAGAAACATAATCATAATCCAAAGTCAAATCTTTATTTAATTAATTTTTTAATTGTATTTTTGTTCTTTTTGGACTCATTTGTTTACTCCTGTAAAATATCATCACTGTGTAACACTCGCGCTTCTATTGGCTAGCGCTCCAACACATTGTACATGATAGGCTAATGGGCGGGACGTCTCTTAGTGGTTGACCAATCACAGCCGAGCCGGCCAGCTAACCAATCAGAGCAGACTGGGCTCTGGTTTCAGACAGAGGGTGGAAAGAGGTGCTGCAGCGCAGGCAGAATGAGAAAAATAAAGAGCTTTTTGAACATTAAAGCATGGAGACATGTCACAGGAGAGGAACAAAATACAAATATGAACCTGAAAATGAGCAGAATAGGGCCCCTTTAACTTCTTATGTTTATATAAATATGGTGTGTAAAGATTCCTATTCTGTTGCAGGTAAATATGTATTTCTGTGTGTGCTTTGTGTTTCAGTCTCTGTGGGACTGGCTCTTCTTCTGGCAGAAGGTTCCGGATCATATCCCTCTGGAGCGGCACAGATTCAGACTCCTGAACCCTCTCGTCATCAGGGAGACGGCTCTGGACCTCCTGAAGTACCCTCCACCCAAACCCCGCCTCTGGGTAAAGGACCAGGTAATAGACTCATCCCAGACTACGGATTTGATCTGTCTGTGACTATAGAGTCAACACAATGCAAGCTGAATGAAACGGTGTTTTTATAGCTTGGTTGTAGCTGTAAGGGAAACTTCTGTGTAGCAATGCAGTGGGAGTCACCGACTCAGGAAAGAGACACGGTAGAGCAGGAGCTTTGATGTCAAACACTGGAGGTTTATTTGGAGTTTCGGCCGGAGAATTCAAGTCACAGCAGTCACGGTGAGACTGCACGAGTGGGTTGCCACGTCAATTCTGGAGCGCCTCTCTCTTGTTAGCCCATTGAACTGGTTTCACAGAGAGTAATCAACATATTTTGATAAGGTAGCTTTAGACAGTTGGGCACACTGAGTTACCTGCTTCCGCCACTTATGGCCTCGAATATGTCATACCCTGGAGTCCACAAACAACAAAGAAGGAAGTGTCCCAGTGCACCCACAACAAAGACCATCTGTGACCTAGTGTTGCCCGGTCACAGAATGGGAACAATAACATTATGGCTGAAGCAGCCTATGTCCTTAAAGGAGATAAACAGACGTTAGGGTTGGTCCTGTACGTCATATCTAGGAGTCTAGGACAATAATTTCCCTAACAGTAGCTACATATTACCACTAAACACATTTATCACTTACAACACCCACCTGACTTCAGATTAGATTAGATATACTTTATTCGTCCCAAATGTTTTTTTGTTTTGTTATAGCAGCGTGTGGACAAGGCATTGAGTTAAAAATATAATAAAACGAAAATAAACAGAACAATTTCAAATAAATATATCAACAGTAGAAAGATGTATATCGTGTCTCTAGAATTCACAAAATGAAATATACATAATCATTTATAAATTACTCTAATGGACCAACCTGCTCATGCAAAAATAAAATAAATAAATGATAAAATGAATATGTTATACAAAGTAGTTTATTAAATGTAAATGCAATCGAGTAGAGTGTAAATAGGATATGTACAAATTGTTCAGGGTTATTGAAAGGGAGAAACAGAGTGTGATCAGGTACAAAAAAAAGATATACAATGTATTATAATATTTAAAATATGCTTTATTTATCCCATCAGCATTGTTACATCAGCATGTTAACGAGGCATTGAGCTAAAAATAGCATAAAAATAAACATTACAATTTAAAATATATGTTGATCAATAGAAAGATACAGTATATACATAAAGAGTGTCTGAAGAATACACAATATATAATATACAGAATCATTTAGAAATTACTCAAATGGATGAACTCACTACTACAAAAAGATATATATATTTAGTGAGAGAGAGAAACTCTCTCTGAAGAGAGATTTGGGAATGTAGCCTTTGCAGACCATTTACATGCACTAAAACTTGTATAACACACTACAAGAAAGTGTAAGAGTTGGAAGGAGCTGATAATTTATTCCGGAAAATTACTCTACCTACTAATTAACCTAACCGAAGTTATTGAGTCTATGTAAGTTTGCTGCTTGGCTCAGATCCACCAACGTCAGCAAGATCTCACCTCTGTAACTCCCTGAAGAACCAGGTTCAATTAACTGCTGTTTCAATTCAGACAACTCTCTTAATCTGTTTAAGCGATCCCGAAGGATTTTGATATCAGTAATGAGGTGTGGCCCTACCTGAGTGTGGCAGGGTGCAATCTTACCTTTGAAGCAGGAGAGGAGAGCGCAGATGTCTTTTAAGTTGTCCCAATCCAAAAGGTGGGATCAGTTTATTTGAAGAAAAATAGGTCCAAACTTATACAGGGTTTTTACCTTCTCTCGTTACAACATTATAATCATACTAAACATATCATGCTGGGGTTATTTTCTGATCTAAAACCTTAATTCATAGTTCACCCATTAAAGTCTTCCGACAAAATCCAAAAGGAATTTCCTCGTGGTGGCGAAGGTTCTCTAATTAGTCCTAAAATCCCGACACATTTAAGAATGGTAGGTTTAAGAATCCCAACACATTTAAGAATGGTAGGTTTAAGAATCCCAACACATTTAAGAATGGTAGGTTTAAGAATCCCAACTCATTTAAGAATGGTAGGTTTCCCAACACATTTAAGAATGGTAGGTTTCCCAACACATTTAAGAATGGTAGGTTTAAGAATCCCAACTCATTTAAGAATGGTAGGTTTAAGAATCCCAACTCATTTAAGAATGGTAGGTTTAAAAATCCCAACACATTTAAGAATGGTAGGTTTAAGAATTCCAACGCATTTAAGAATGGTAGGTTTAAAAATCCCGTTCAAAACTTTCATCTAGACCATTCCCTCAGCATTCAATACACAGAGATGTAAGCAATAGTTACCAAGTTAGAGAGAACCTTACCGAGAGCAAAAACCCAGCTCTGAGGGAGAGAGCTTTTACCGGGAGAGAGTATACCTTACGTCAGGAGCCCCCCCTCCCTGTGTAATGCTGTGAGGGAAGAGGGAAGAAACTGTCTCTCCCTTATCAGTGAAACCCATAAACCATATACACACTCAACTTAACAAACCACTTGTGTTTTGTTTATACTGTAAATATAGAAAATCATAAAATATGAAGCATTTTCATTGTGGGTTATACAAGAATATATTTGATTATAACTAACTTTCGTTTTAATTATTCAACCTGATATGGAGATCTCAACAAAAGGGAAGACCAACAAGCATAATAGGGCCCCTTTAACAGTCAAACCAATTTGTCGACACACTTTTAAACGAGGAGTAGTTTTTTATGTTCCTGCAGATGAAACATTACGTCCTCTAACTTCCTCTGCATTGAACCTGTTCTGTGTTTGGTCTTGCATCACTAATCTAACACTGATTAAACCAGGTCCACCCTCTGTAATCGCCACTATTGTGGTTTAGTACCCTAAATATACTCCATTTCAAAATGAGACCAAACTGTTCGACACATTTCACTTGTGGTCTGAAAAAGGTGGCTTTTTCTTTTAGCTTAGCTTGTTGCTAGAAATGCCTTTTCTGTTACTGAAATTGTTGTGGATCTCGTGTGCCCCCTACTGGTTGGCTAAAAGAAGATAGAGTTCAGCAGTCAATGGTGGTATAAGCTCACAAAATATTGGTTTATTGATCTAGTAGTATGTGAGAATAGCTACCGCCAGACACACAGATATATAGGGGTGAATCATTTGGAAAACATAACTAATTGCAATTATTTTTGACTAATATTGCAGTTGCACATATCAGAAACAATCAGAATACTTGTATTTATCTGGGAGGAAATTGGGTTTGAATGAAGAATGAAATAAATTAAAAGATAATTATATAAACATAAGAAATTAAAGAAACAATGTGTGATCAAATAGAATAATTTATATAAACATAAGAAGTAAAATAAATAACATGTGAAAAAATAAATATATTTTTGTCACCATAAGAAGTAAATCAAATGTCCAATAAACGCTAAAATAAATAGAAATAAAATATTAAAAATAAACTAATCATTTGCGATTACAAGATAAAATAAAGTAACAAATATGTATACAAACATAAGAAGTTCATAAAAAATGGAATGAAAAAACGATATCAGTATGATGAGGGAATGTATATTCTTTAAACAATATCCACTTTATCATTAAGAAATATACTAAAATGATCATAAAGTAAGCTGATATGCTTACTAATTTCCTGGTTTAGGACTCATTCCTGCTATAATCTATTGGGATTTTAAAGTTTATAAAATGTTGATTAATTGTGTAGCCCTGCAGATATACACTCATAGAAACGCGTGAAAAATAACATGGTGGTTTTCTGTCATGACAATATTGTTAATTCCTTATTAATTTTGAATCTTTTTTCTTGCTGCAGAATGTGCCCACCATGGGGGTATCTGCACTGAACTTGGCCAGCCTGCTGTGTGACGAGGTGAGCCTGGCAGGCTTCGGCTACAACCTCTCCCAGCAGGGGGTGCCGCTGCACTACTTCGACCAGCTGCCCATGAGCGCCATGCTACGGCAGACCACTCACAACGTGGACTGGGAGACCCAGCTCCTCCAGAAGCTCGTCAGGGAGGGGGCCGTCACCGACCTGACTGGGGGGGTACACTGCTCCTTCTGCCCCAGCTGAACACTTTTCACCTAGAAACGTGTGAGAAGCCAGGAAGAAAATAATATTTAGGTGAGAAAAACTTGAAAGATGGGAATAAATCTAGTCTTATATGTGAATGTGTCATTAAGTGCTTTATACAGAATCCCTGAGAGGCAAATAAGAAAACAAATGTAGTTACACATTTTCTTCGTCCGATCTTAATTGTGTTTATGACTTGATAACCTGAAGAAAAAAGGTATGGTTAAAAAAATCTTTCTTAAAAAAATTATTAGTTAGAAAAAAAGGTTTTGCCAGAATGACCGTATCAAGTTCCTATTTAAAAAAATCCATTTGTGAAACATTTTTGCCATTTTATTTTTGCATGATGTTTTCAAATACTAACAAAATGCTATTTAACAATTGTTTGAACTTAAAAAAAAATGATTGTCAAAACTTTTTTTCTACCAGTTTCACGGATCAACAATCATGAATCCTATAAAGTTTTTCCTGAAAAAAAATCTTCACCTATTCTAAGGTCATAAACAAAGTACATTCATTTTTGTATCCGACTTAAAAAACTAAAATAATTCATTTTCTTAATTGCCTTTTTCGGGCTTCCGTAGCTTGAAGAACAAAATTGAAGTCACTGTAAATGAGAGCCTTCTGAAAACATCAGTCTTGTTGTTATGATACTCTTAATGCATAGACAACTCACGCACATTTGGAATTAAGAAGGTTTCAATATGTATTACTACTGTCTTATTTTTGTCATAATAGTTCTCTAAGTACTCTGAGGTCAAATGATTCTATCAAAGCATCTTCCACAGAGTTTAATGTGGTACATTGCATTTTAAGGAGGTAAAGCTTATTATGTGTTCATGGTGACACTTTAACACATAGATCTGTATTCATAGTTACAGTTTACTTTTTTAAGGGGTTGAACAAATGTGAATTAACTATATTTATCAGCACATCGACAACATTACACTATAAATTAGCAACTATACAATTCCTTTGTTGGTTCTGTCTGTGGTTTTATTTAGGAGTTGAAATGTTTCACACCTGCATTTAAATTGTATTCTACTTATGTGTGCACTGGAAACATTCCTTTAATTTATGTTGTCACTATTCTGTTCTTACTTTGTCTCATTTTGAAAGACCTTGTCATTTCGTATGTCTTCATTTATTGAATAGACACATCTCATATAGCTCAAATCTGGAACAGTTAATGAAAAAAAAGAAACTGTACATATTAAAAACAATCTAAATGTCAATGTCATTGTAAATGTTCACATATAGTTCTTTTTTATACGAAATGTTCTGTTATTATCAGTCTTAATTTATTGTTTTGTTTTTACACCTTGTTATTATTAAACTATACATATGGTGTTAATGCATAATTGAGTGGTTCATTTGCATGTTAATGATTATTCACTGATTTTCTTAAAATTACAAATAATGAAATGTCCTTTTTTATGTTCCATTCATTTGAATGCACTACCAGTATCCATGGTAACAGCTTCAATTGCTCTACACTTCAAATGTGTAATAAGCAATTGATGTACTTTTCAAAGTGTAAAGGTTAGTTTCTGGTTAAATATGACTTCTCAGCCACTCCAAATCAGAGTGTGACTTCCTGCCCCAGAGTCAACAGGAAACACTATGACCTTCAATTACTGGTTATTACACAACACAAGTTGCATCGTGTCATGCAGTCATACAATAAGTGATTTTTTAAAGTTAATCTATATTTTAAAGATATAATACGTATTTTTAAAGATACCTTCTTAAACATGATACTATGTTCGACTCTACTTTACATGTATTATGACCGGAAATAAGCCAATTATCCCTTTCAAATTAAGAGTTCTAAAAACAAACCACAATCGCTACAATATGAAAAGACAATCTAGGAAGACAACAGTTGTATCTAAGTAGACCTCAGAATATTTCTAATGAAATATTATTTAAAAATACACTCGTTTACTGTAGCCCTGGCCCCTTTCATAGTTTACTGTTGAGAAAGTTATGGACTTATTTTATTTTGAAACATTCGGCCCGGAAATTGTATATTTTGTAAACAGTCTAGGTGCGCGTTGTCAGAATGGAACAAGAAGCCGGGGAGATGAGCTGCTAACAGGTGGGAAGTCCCTCAATAAGCTACTTAATGTTGGTTTATTGATACTATTAATTAAAATGTGTTTACAATTGTGTATACCACATGTTTTACAGAAATGTACACGTGTAACATAAGAAACAGGCATTGAATGGTATTGAAAGTCAGGTTGGGTCTTCTGCTCAGAGTAATATCAGTTTGTTGTCAATGAAAAGAGGGTTTAACTTAAACTTTAAGTGCTGCTCGCGACGCCTGGCTTTACTTCACTATGTACTCAATATACTTTTTAAGGACTCTGTACAAGTTGTCTCCCTGGTTTACTTTACTTGCCATGGTAACGGTGCCACAATGACCTTTCAGTTCTGTCACTACTGTCGGAAGGTTACGCTGGAGTAGACTTTGGCAGGGAGAAGTGAACGTTGTGTGTTCCGAAAGTTAGCACAAGAGTGTTAAATGTACAGGGAAGTTTAATGATTCATTGCAGTTTAAAGTCCGACGGGAGAGAGATTATCGCACATGAACGACACTGACTGTTCACTTTGAATATGTTCTCATGTATGGCAGTATTAAGTTAAAATAATATTGTGTAGAAACAGTATTGTGTATTAACGTTAGGCAGGGGGACAGAGACTGTAAATATCACTACAGGGTTTAGTGGCACATTGCAGGTTTTGAGGTGAAAGGTGACTGGTCTCTGATTGGCTGGCTGTCATGAACCCACCCTAATTTCATTGGTTCCTTGTTACCCATCCCCCGCCCCCGCCCCTTCTCTCTCTGCCTCTCTTTATCGCTTGCGGTGCTTGTTATAAACACCGGGGCGCTCAGGCTGCTAGAAGAAAGCGGACCAAGCGCTTCACTAAAACCTCAGGCATGCATTGCAGAAAGAAGTGCATACATTAATACAGTATGGAACATATTGATCTTGCACCTTCTCCATTTCACGTCATGGTAGATACTAGGGCTGCTCAATTAATCGTATTTTAATTGCAATTACGATTTTGGCTTGCAACGATTATGAAAACAACATAATCGAAATAAAACGATTATTTATTTTTGTATTGGTTTTTCAGTTGAATTATACTTAAAGTTCAGGGTAATCAACTGTTAAAACATACTGTTGTGGTGATTGACATTATTCACCCACGGATCTATGGGTTGGGGTATTGTTCCGCACGGACATTTTAGTGAGCCGGACATCCTGTTTCCGCCGGTCTTCCCGGGCATGAAGTTGTTTACATGGTTGCGTTCTGATAATCCAAAAATCAGCTCCTAAATTCTAACCCTATCTCCTATTCCTTGACCTCTGAGTGAAACGTCACGGGGTTAAGGGATAGTCGATAAGAGAATTAAAAAGGACTTAGGAGAAGAGACTGCGGTGCTTTAGAGAATCCGAATGCACTTTCACTATCCGACGTGTTTATGATGCGCAGCGGACGTCATGAATGTGCGTCTGCTGCTGTGGGGAAACTATGGAAACTACAGTTTTCTATACAGCGGACTACAACATGGATGTTTAATAAGAACGAGGGACTACTGTAAACTCATCTAGAGACTCTGCACCGTGCTCTGATGCTGTTGTTTTATGCTTTATGAACGTGGACAACAGAGAAACATATTCTTCATGACCAAAGTTGGAATTGAAATAAAAAAGGAAAGTGAAACTTATGCTCGTCACCCTCTCCCTCCGGTCCACATTAATAAAATGATCCCAATACGTATGATTGTATGAACTATGAAAATATCTTAAAATCAATACAAATGTATTTATTATAAGCGTTAGTCCTTAACATCTATCACTGTGTATATCACCATTCAAACATCTTTTAAAAGTTGAACAAACCCCACACAGCTCAGTAAAGACTGTGAGATGTTGACTTTATTTGATCATTTCAGTAAAAACTAACGTTCATATTTCTCTTTTTGATTATAATACTGATGAACGTTCAGAAAAAAGCACTTTGGCAACTTACCACATACGTTTTAAAATGCTTAATAAGCACCGTAACTTTCATGATATCATTTCTCGGTCATAATCGGTTGTTTCCGTGAACGGCCGACTGTTGAGTGACGGCAAATGCTGCGGCTGCAATGCATTGTGGGGCAGCATTTTCCCCTCTCCTTTTGGTAAGGGAGGTCCAGTGGTTCCTAAGCTAAAGGAGGTCATAAAGGAATTTTGAAACCTCCTTTCCTTTCATTTGGAGAATTGGAACGGCACTTATCATGGCTGCCACTGAGGGACTTCCGGGTCATTTCACTTGGTTAGGAAGGTTCCTAAGCTAAATGGACTATTGGAACGCAACCCATGTGTGTTCAGATGCTAAATAAAGGTCTAGCTTGTAACTTTGATACCCCGCCTCCAACTCCCGTCTCTCGGCACTACATTGGTGACCAAGTCTCGTTGAAGGATCCGAGACTGAACCGAGCATGGCAAGTAACGCCGTTTTTTTCAAACTGCCAGAGTTTTGGGAGACATGGTTCGCTCAGGCGGAGGCTCAGTTCGCCCTCCGCGGAGTGACTGACGACACAGCACGATATTTTCGCGTCGTTTCGGCGCTGGGGAGCTCCGCTGCGACCCGGACGGTGGGCTTTATTACATCTCCTCCTGCCCAGGATAAATATGCAGCGTTCAAGGCTTTCCTGCTAAAGACTTTCGAGCTGTCACGGTCGGAACGGGCCCGACGCCTCCTCGCTCGGTAGTGGCCGCGAGCGTGGGCACATCCAACCGGCTCCTGTTCATCAGGGACACCCTCTCTGGTCGCAGACTCCTTTGTGACACAGGGGCCCAGCGGAGCGTCCTGCCGGCTACCGTGGAGGACGCCGCTGGTGGAGGCCACGGCCCACCTTTAACGTCCGCTAACGACACCCCTATTCGCACCTATGGCACAAAGACAGTGGACCTGTGCTTCGAGGGTCAGCGGTTTAAGTAGGATTTCGTCACGGCTGACATCTCCTTCGCCTTCCTCGGCGCAGACTTCCTGTGCGCTCACGGACTGCTGGTGGACGTCAAGAACAGCCGCCTGGTGGACGCACTGACGTTTGCCTCGTTCACGTGTACCCGCGGCGAGGCGTCATTCAGTGGGCTCTCCAGCTCACTCTCACAGGGCGACAAGTTCCAGCACCTTCTCAGTGAGTTTCCCGACTTGACGCAGCCCACCTTTTCTGCTGCCACTACCAAACACGGGGTAGAGCACCACATTGACACTGAAGGCCCCCCTGTCTACGCTAAGGCCCGGCGGCTCAACCCTGACATGCTGGCAGTCGCCAAGTCGGAGTTCGTCAACATGGAGCGTCTGGGCATCATCCGCCGCTCAGACAGCCCTTGGTCTTCGCCGCTTCACATGGTCCCTAAATCAGCCGGTGGCTGGCGACCGTATGGTGACTACCGCCGCCTTAACGACGCCACTACCCGGTCCCTCACATCCAGGACTTCTCTGCACACCTCGCGGGCAAGCTGGTTTTCTCCAAGGTGGATCTGGTGTGGGGCTACCACCAGGTTCCGGTGCACCCCTCGGACGTCCCCAAAACTGCGGTAATTACGCCGTTTGGGCTTTTTGAGTTCCTGCGTATGCCGTTTGGACTTAAGAACGCCGCTCAGTCCTTTCAGCGGCTGATGGATTCAGCGCTCAGAGACATGCCATTCATCTTCGTCTATTTAGACGACATCCTGGTCGCCAGCTCCTCCTCCGAAGAGCACCAGGCACATCTCCGGTTCCTTTTCGCCAGGCTCAACCAACACGGCCTGATTATCAACCCGGCGAAGTGTCAGTTCGGGTTGTCCTCCATCCATTTCCTCGGACACCTCATCAGCAAGGATGGGGCCGCCCCCCTCCCGTCGAAAGTGGAGGCCGCGTCTGCCTTTCCACGACCGCCTACAGCTCGGGCGCTCCGAGAGTTCCTCTGGATGGTGACGTTTTATCACCGGTTCATTCGCCGGGCGGCCCACACCATGCGCCCGCTGTACGAGGCCCTCGGGGACAAGTCGCCAGGTCATAGACTGGACGGCTGAAAGGGAGGTCGCTTTCAACGCCACCAAAGCCGCCCTGAGCGAAGCCGCCATGTTGGCTCACCCGTCACACAGGGCCCCCATCGCTATCACCACTGACGCATCTGAGTACGCAGTGGGCGCGGTGCATGAACAATGGGTCGATGGCGCCTGGCAACCGCTCGCCTTTTTCAGCCGCCAGTTGACTCCCAGGGAGCGCAAGTACAGCGCTTTCGACAGAGAACTCCTTGGTCTCTATTTGGCGGTTTGCCACTTCCGTTTCCTGCTGGAAGGCCGGGAGTGTGCGGCGTTCGTGGATCACAAGCCACTGACCTTCTGCATGTCCAAGGTGGCCGAGCCGTGGTCCGCCCGACAGCAACGCCAGCTTTCGTACATCTCCGAGTACACCACGGACATACGACACATCGCTGGCAAGGCTAACATAGTCGCGGACTGCCTCTCCAGAGCGGTCATCGGAGCTGTGCAGCTGGGCCTCGATTACCTCTGCATGGGCGCTGACCAGGCCTCTGACCACGGGGTCCAGACCCTCAAGGCCTCAGTCACGGGATTACGCCTGGAGGAGGTCACGGTTGGTGACTCTGGCGCAAAGCCGTGGTGTGACGTCTCCACGGGCCAGCCTCGACCGCTGGTCCCTGCGGACTGGTGCCGACCCGTTTTTGAGGCGGTTCACAATCTTTCCCACCCCAGTAGGAAGCCGTCCGTGAAGTTGTTGTTGCAGAAGTTCGTGTGGCAGGGGCTTAAGAAGGACGTGAGGTCCTGGGTTGACTCGTGCGTGGCCTGTCAACGGGCCAAAGTCCACCGCCATACTAGGGCCCCTTTTGAACTTTTTGCGGTTCCTGATAGGAGGTTTGACCATGTCAATGTCGACCTCGTAGGTCCGCTTCCCCCCTCTCACGGTTTCACCTACCTGTTTATGATGGTGGACACGACAACCCGCTGGCCCGAGGCCGTTCCCCCCTCGACGTCAGCTTCCGACGTCGCCCGCGCTTTCATCGGCACGTGGGTGGCGTGCTTCGGGACCCCGTCTGACCTCTCCTCTGACCGCGGTTCTCAGTTCACCTCGGAGCTGTGGAACGCTGTTTCTGTGGGTTTGGGGGTCAAGCTGCACCGCACCACCGCATATCACCCCCAGGCTAACGGATTGTGTGAGCGGTTTCACCGGTCCATGAAGGCGTCACTGCGTGCCGGCTTGACAGACAGCAACTGGGTGGATAAGCTCCCGTGGGTTATGCTCGGCCTCAGGTGTGCCCCCAAAGAAGACCTGCAGTCCTCGTCGGCGGAGCTTGTCTATGGCCAGACGCTACGGGTCCCCGGGGAATTCATTCCCACCGCCGCTGTGCCCTGGTCTGCGGCCGTGCAGTGCTCCTCCCTGCTGGAGACCGCTGGGACATTCACGCCCGTCCCCACGTCGCAGCACAGCAACCCAGCTTTCCGGGTGTCCCCCGGATTACGGTCGGCGGATTTCGTTTTTATTCTCCATGATGCCCACTGTGGTCCCCTGCGGCCCCCTTACGATGGTCCGTTCAGGGTCATACGTTACGGGGACAAGAGCCTGGTGGTGGACGTAGGTGGCAGGCCTGAGACTGTGTCCGTTGATCGGATTAAGCCTGCTCACGTGGACGTTTCCAGGCCGTTGGAGTTGGCTCTTCCCCCACGTCGGGGCCGCCCTTCCATGGCCCGCACCCTGTGGGGATGCCCTCGCCCTCGTTGGCGCCCCTGCCCTCGCCTGCGGCCCCGCCCTCCTCGGCCCCTGTGGTCCGTACGCGCCAGGGTCGGGTGGTACTTCCTCCCGGGCACAAGGATTTTGACTATGGGTGAATACTGGGGGGGCTTGTGTGGTGATTGACATTATTCACCCACGGATCTATAGGTTGGGGTATTGTTCCGCACGGACATTTTAGTGAGCCGGACTTCCTGTTTCTGCCGGTCTTCGCTTCCCGGGCATGAAGTTGTTTACATGTGTGTTCAGATGCTAAATAAAAGTCTAGCTTGTAACTTTGATACCCCGACTCCCGTCTCGGCACTACACTGTTAAAAAAAAAAATGTTCAATACATTTATGTTTTCAAAGTAAATAATCGTTAATAGTTTATATAGATTATATAGATTATTAATAGTAAATAATCGTGATATCAATCATTGACCCAAATAATCAAGATTATGATTTTTGCCATAATCGAGCAGCCCTAGTGTTACATGTTACACCTTCTTTATGAATTCTGAACTGTAATCAGCCTGACTCATTGGTCCAATTTTTAAAGAGAAGAAAGAAAGAAAATGTTAATAAAAAATTACAGTAGTCTAAATTAGCATAATATTAAGTTGGCAATAAAGTATAAAGTGGTATTTGTTTGAATTGATCATAAAAGAAAACAAAGTTGAAACTCTTTATTGGTTTTATCATATCGAGATACAGTTATGCCAATCCACTGAACAAATATTGACATTAGCATGAAAATGTATTCAGAGCATTATTCAATTGACACATACAAATATTGAACAATCAAGATATAAGTGAAGTGATTCAGTGTCCTACCTCAGGTTTGCAGTAATTCCACATATTTCTTTAAGAAGAAAAACCCTTCATCTGAACACACGGCCCCTCTACATCGCAGACCTTGAATATGAAGCCATTCAAAAGGCGGTAGCTATACGGCGCATATCATTTGCCTGCTTGGTAATCCAGCCTTGCACTCTTGAGTAAATGCAACAGGACAACTCATCTTATATTTTCCTTTATCACCTAATCACTGAGTTTATCGAGTTAAGATAAGTTTAACACTTTTCATTAAGTTACAATTGACTGAATATCTTCAGTTTTGGACGGTAGCTAGACAAAACAAGCAATTTGAAGGAGCCCCCTTTCCAATGAAAGGAAAGTGTTTGCCTAGTATAAATACTTGTTAATAATGCCTTTATTTGGCTAATAGTAAGTCTGTATGGCATATTTTTTATAGAATGTCAGTATGTCTGTATGGCACACTTTGTTAATAGTATGTCCGTATCTCTGTATGGCATTTCTTATATAAATGTGCAAAATCTGCACATGTGTTTAAAATGTACTGACTATCTATAGTTTTGGACAGTTGTAGACAAAACATGCTATTCCAAAAAGTGAAAGAAAGACTTCTGAAAATGTACATTTTTAGCACGATATCAATATGAAATCGAACAAACGTATTTGTTTTTTTTTACAATGAACTCAAAATCAAAGTGTTGGATAGTTGGTCAGACAAAACATGCACTTTGAAGAGGATACCTGAAGGTAATTGTAAATCACATTTCCCAGTATTTCAGGACATTTTATGGATCAAGATATTATTTCATGGACTCTTAACCCAGAGCCATTACAATAAGAGAATAAACAATGGCAGAAGTAGATGAGTGGACACCGGTTCCCTTTGATCAGCTTTAATCTCACTCTCTAATCATCTCAGCAGCCACCTCAGGTCACTGGGGGAAAGGTGAAGAGAGAAGGACACTACTTCAGTCAAGGCACTAAGTCAAAGATTTCTATTCATAGAAACTACAATAAGACAGTAGAGCGGAATGGACAGGGTGGGCACAATGCTGTATTGTGGTATAACATAACAGCAATTATAAAACATATCCAAATCTCACAATGATTGGTCCTCACACTTTTACCATCGTATTGATCTTGTCAATGGATATGTTCATTGATGGTATTGAGTCAATCAGACCACATGTCTTGTCCCGACCAGCCAATCGGAGCCCTCCCTGGAGCTGGTGTGACCTTTGATTGGTAGATTAGCTGACACATCAGCGTGTAGCAGATCTTTGAGAGTGTTTTGTGCCAGGAATGTATCCGTGCTTCCGCCTCGTGAAAGCAGAGTGAGCCGGTTGCTTTGGCAGCAGAAACAACAGCAACGTCCCAGCTGCTTTCTGTCCAGGTGAGTGAGGACCAGATGCTATACTGTAGGAGTAGAGCTGGAAGATAGGAATAGCTCTGCATTGTACTCGTAGAGAATGGAAACAATGTGGTCGTCTTGTCAACAGTCTGTATGCAGTTATTTATGCCTATAGGTGCATACCATACCAGGCAAGTCTTGTCAAGTCTCAAGTTACTTGTCAGTAACTTGTTAAAGCATATATTTATGCACAAGACAGATTCATGCATTATTTTACCTTATGGAAGCAGCCTTGGCGGAGGTTTCCTTTCTCTTATAGTTTAAAATGATTTAGAAACAATCCCAACACTCTAGGCTTAAGAATTAAATCTTAAAAGGAGATTAGGCCTGTCACGATAATTAATTTTGTTGGACGATAAATGTTCCTGGAAATTATTGCGATAAACGAAAACTTAGCAGCAGGCGCTGAATATGGGCCGCCAGCTCTAACCGCTGAGCCGGTGTTTCCGCCAGACCAGGGCTGAGAGGGCGTCCACCCGAGATACCTCATTCACACCAACGCAACTCCGGTTCAAGCTCCGTGCTAGAGCCTTTCAGGTTCAGAACCGGTTCTTCGGTTTAGCTCCGGCTCTTTTCACACCGCCCAGAGTCCGACTGGTGCTGCGTCATTGCGTCATCGTTTGCGTCATGACGTAACCGTTTGCGTGCCTGCTTCATGAAGCCAAACCACGCGGAAACCCCTCACAGCTGCTCACACCGACAACAACAACAATGGCCGATTGTGCTCCAGCTTCCTCTGTACCTCTTCGGAAGACCAGATTCCCAGTAGGTAGCTGGTCTCTTCAGTGGACCACTGCTGCTTGTTAAGTTTCTCCATCGTTGTGTACAAGCTGGATAAAACGCAGGCTTTTTGTTGTTGTTCAGGAGTTGATCCTGCCCCTGTCCCCGCCTCGACATAAGCGTGACGTATGTGGTGCTTTTGCTCTAGCCGGACAATTTGTTGGTGCTTGAAACGAACCGGATTCCGGAGCTAAGAGGCTGCTCCGCTGCGGTGTGAAGAGGAAAACCCTGGTGCTTTTCAAGCTCCAGCTCCGAACCGGCCCTGAAACACTGTTGGTGTGAATGAGGTAAGAGAGAGTCACGTGACTTGAATTTTGAATTGAGCCGTCCCTTATAATAGATAATATCTCTTTACGTTAGTAATGGGAATTACGGCTCTTTTTAGTGAGCCGGATCATTTGGCTCGGCTCACTAACAAGAGGAGCCTCAGTTTCGCCGCTGCGAGGCTCCGGCGCTCGCAGTTCACGCGCATGCTCCACCGCTCATCGCGTCCAAATCGCGCACGTTCCGTGTTGTCCTGTGGCAGGCACCGTGGGTTCAGTACTCCGAAAAGAATCCCAATAGGCTCCTTTGCCCCTCCAACAGAGGGATGTTCTTGTCCTTTTTCCTTTTCGTCATTTCAAGCAATCTTTTTTTTTTGGACGCCCTCGGCTCGAGTTCAGGCCGTTCTGAGCTGAATAAGGCCGTCAATTGACGGCAAGACGCCCCCCTGGCGGAAACACTGCGCTGAGCTATCTGGCGGTCCAGACTCTTCATATTTAATTATCACAGAAAGCGCAATATCAGTTTGAAAAACTTGAAAAATCAAAACAAGTTTTAAGATGATCTTCCCATTACAAGTGAAACGTTTGAAACAATAGCAAAAGAAAACCACCTTTTTTTAGTTCCATACACTCATACCTGGTCTGGTGTATGGCCAATAGCTTTTGGTAGCTCATTTTAGCATGGGCCTTAAAACAAACGATACTAAATCATGTGCTGCAGTTACTCTACCTTTGAGCCTTTACTATCATAACAATAGTTAACAATTGACTATCGTGACAATTGATTTCATATAAGTGAACCACTTTACGGTTGCTACATTATGTAACAATTACACAAATGAGACGAGAAGCAACCAGACCTGTTTTAGAAGGCTTCATCATTACTATTGCCAATGAGACATTTCTGATCATGTAAGTGGTCTCTGCTTGTGTACACATTTCCCATCAGTGAACATTCCTCCCATCAGAGTGAGGAGTAACAGTACCAGACGAGTGCTCCCTTGTAAGCTGAACTGATTGGATTCATTTGATTTCCCAAACTTTGGTGTCATATCAAGGCTGTCCTCTGTGATAACTGACGTCTCTCAGTTTGTATTGTTGACATGGAATCTGGGCCTAAGGTCGTCCTCACCCTCAAGGTTCACATGGACGCTGTGTTCAGACTGTGTTTCTAATCTGTTTATTCTTAAACAGCTCTCGCACCTCAACTGTGTGTGTTTGTCACAACACTGAAAATAACCTGTTCAACAAAAAACGCACACCCTGGGAACGTGACACCGGCTAGACTCGTCCCCAGAGAATCTGTTAATTATATGATATCATTTTACTGCAATGTGAGCATCCGTCATTATTCTACATTAGTAGCTGCAGGACAAAGTACTCGTACTTGAGAGAACGCTGCAAACACACTCCTTTGGTGGTATTTTCAGACATTTTACGATTAACCAAACAAAGGAAAACAAATGAGCCAATTATTCTGTAATGTAAAGAATGCAGCTGTCTAGTTTTGGTTATTTCTCCATAGGACCGATGTCAGTTTTTTCCCAATGGTTTGGAAAGGGACAAGCTCAATAAAACAAATGAAAAGAAGATGTTCCATACTTATTCTCACAAGATGTAACATTTGAAATCAAACCACACACTCCTGATGGAGCGAATCAGCTTGAGTCTTTAATTGTTTATAATAATACCAATACAATAATTCCAAAAGCATGTTTTTTTTTAACTTTAACTTCAAACCAACTTTTCATTGACTTTAAATGATCATTTAACCACTCTATTCCGAAGAGGGTAAATCCAATGTAAACTGTATCCATTGTGTTTGATAAAAAAAATGGATATCGTTAAACATCTGCAGCTAAACCTGAAATGATTTGAATAGCCATTCCAATAGCGAAGTGAACAAGATCAAAATGTGACGTAATACCTCCAAAATAATGAGGTTCCCTTAAACCTTAGCTGTTCTCTGTGATTACAGCTGATTATCACAAATTAGCATGCAGCTAGCAGCTTGAAATAAGCAGATGTACCTGTTGGATATTACTTTCTAAATAACATTGTGTTAGCATTGTTCCAATGAGCACGTTAGCAAGGTCATTTCAAAAATCATAGAAATGTTCCATTTTCATTTCGAAGTAATATCAACGGAGGTGCCACTGTATATCTTATTTCTTAATACTGAGGAAACGACTGCACGTATGCTTAATAATTGAATTTGGGCTGCGCTCGCTTGGTGGTTAAAAGTAACACACCTAAAAATGTATAGATGTAATCAGAATACTTAATGTATCTCGGGGAAATATTGTGACAGTTGCTCCTTTTCAGAATACAATAACATAACAATATTTAAGACATTAAAGTAAAAGGTGCAATCAAATATTTAACATTTTGATATAATACAAGTATTTATCTAAACATAAGAAGTTAAAGTTAAAATATGCACACTGTTCAATATCTAACAACAATAAATATGTAAAGATGTGTTTATCACAATATTTGCAGTGGTGTATCAGCATTAACAAAGATATGGATTCTGAATTCACAGTTTGAGGGGCTTTTAGCTGCTGATGGTGCAATAAGTCCAAATATCCTAGATCCTAGATGTTATTTAAACAAATTAATGACCGACCTTCTCTCCCTCTCCTCAGGTCCCCTCCTGGCCTGCTGCCCACCACACACACTCCTTCCTCTAACACACACTCTTTACCTCACCTCAACCAGAGCTCTGTGTTATCACTACCACTCCAAACACACACTTTGACCTCACCATGCTGGGACAGGAGTTCCTGCGGAAGCTGAAGATGCCAGATCTGAATGATGTCAGCCAGTACATCCAGAGCGTCTCCACCCCAGTGCTGGTCAGCGTGGGGGCGGTGGCTGCCGCGACAACATACTACCTGGCAACCCGGCCCAAAGCCCTCCCGCCAGTGTGCGACCTCCGCATGCAGTCCGTGGAGGTTCAGGTGGGTTTCACATTGGGTTCTAGTTTCAAATATATAGAAGAAACACAAATCTCTGGCCACCTCTTTTAGGTCCAAATTGCTCAATCTGCTCAGTTTGTAGGTCAACCCTCTGTTTCTGCCCCCAACCACGACCTGAAAAGTGAATATGAATTGTTACCATTAAATCACAGGGTTCACCAAAGACACAGGGTCCCACAATTTAATAAGGTTAGACTCCAAAAATGTAAAACTGAGGTTAATCCCAGATTAAAGATCTTGTCTTCAGCAATTAAAATGTTATGTTCAATTTATGTTCCATTGTTTCTTGTCTTAAAAGGGCCCTATTATGAATATGATATGAGGTTTTCCCTTTATTGCAGTGTGCTTGTAGGTTTTTGTGCATGTTAATGGTCTGCAAAGGCTAAAATACTAAAATTCCCTCCGGGGGAGTTTCTTTTTTATCCTTAAAGTATGTAAACATGTCGCAGTAGAGGCACAAAATACAAATATGAACCTCAAAATGAGGTTAATATGTACTCTTTATATATTTACCATTGTTTATGTTTCATATGGAGCTGCATTGATGCAAGACAAATGTCAGACTCCTTCTGACTAACGTACTACTTTAAATAAAAGAGTAAGCTTTCCTGTAAGTGCAGATGTAGGACAATAATGTATACATACTGTGACAGCTAATGAAACACCACTGAAAAATACTGTTGAAATCAAATGTATGAACATTGACGAAGGTATTACGCTGTAATGCTGGTGGTTCAGTAAAGGGCTATTGCTCTAAATGTAGCAACATTCAAACACAGGAACAACCCTGACTCAAGTGTTTGGATTGTACACCCCTCCCCTTTTCAAAGAGGTAATTCTTTAAGTGCTCTCGCTTTGAACAGACAAAAGCCCCAAGAAAACCACTATAAAAAAACTGGTTCAAAACCAACTGGACCAGGTGTTAATTATTAATTTAAGTGCAAAGGCTGCCATTGTTTCACAATGATTTATCCGTCGGCAGATCACAGAGGAAGTCAAGTTTTTATTTTACTCACAAAGAAGCATCTGGTGCAACACATCAGGTCAGGTGACAGCGATAGAAGCTTCGACAGTGACAGAGACCCCCCCCCCCAACAAGCCATTTAGTCACTAGCAACAATCACTGCTTTTATGACACATAGAAGATCAGACATTCACCAGTAGGGTGTTTACTGACGTATGTTATGTCGTAGAACAAAAGGTGAACATTTATTTTCTTGTGCAGACCTTATTTCAGGAATCTGAACAAAACCTTGACTTTTAGACGAGGAAGCAGAAGTGCGAAACAAATAACTAATGTCCTGGTTTTAGGACTCATTCCTGCACCACTCTATTGGGAAACAATCTGACACTGCACTAAACTGTAATAACAACACTAAAATAATTGAAACTTTATGTGAATGATATTTCCAAGCAATAATTAAGAGACTAGAACTGATGTTTGAATGAATGATTAAATAAATATCTGTTGGATCAATCTTAGATTACATAGATTTGTTTTATCAGGGTGGAGAGTTGGCACGCCGATCGGTGCTGCTGAAAGGAGACGCTAACATCACACACTTCTACGATGACGCCACAACAATGTACGAGTGCTTCCTCAGAGGCGTCAGAGTCTCCAGTAAGTCACAAACACATAAATATATGAATTCATTTTTGATAGTTTGACAGTTTGTCTGCCTTGCTATAATGGGGAATAAATGTTGCCCTTGGGGAGAGCAACAGAGTAGGAGCTGCGGTGGCCGACATGTGCCAACACGCTACAATGGCCCAAAACACGTGCTGCACATCCAAAAATGTTTTAAATGTAAAAACACTATTGTGCCAAAACACAACGGAAACGGGGACTCTAAAAAGTGACGCACACAGCTGGGATCGGAGCGCTTGTTTACAGGGATAATAATGTTGGCCAACTGTCACTGAAAACTTAAAATGTACATTTTATTAGCTTATTTGAACAATGTGAACACAAGATTTCTTCCGATATTATTGCACGCTAACCTAGTCATTGCAAATATACTGACAAAACGCTGCACATGTTTTGTCAGGTTGGTGAAGATTGTTTCCTCATTTGCATGTGTTTTGGCACATTTGTATTTTTATATTTGCATTGTTTTTGAAACTGCAGCGCATTTCTCCTAATGAAGTGTTATGGGCCGTTGTAACGCGCTTGCCCCTGTAGGCCATCGTAAAGATCAGCAGACGTACTGTAACGAAGGTAACTTCGGGCCTTTGGACTGACGGCTTCGGGCCTTGTAATATTGCACATGTGGGATTGCACTTTATGAAACAACTTCCCTTTGCACAGAAATAATGTCACTCAGCACTTTAGTAGTGAACAGTTTGCACTTTAATAGCTTGATTGCACAGTACAGTTTGGCATTGCATATTTGCACATTTTTACATAATTTATACTAATTATTGATATAGTATTTATTAAATGATTAAACCGTATTAATTGGAATGTCGTCTGGCAGATGCTGGCCGGGTCCTCGGCTCCACCTGAAAAGATAGGGGGGTTAGCGAGAGCGCCGAAAGGGTTTATGCTGGTGTAAGAATGACAGCGGTTGAGATGAATCAGTGTGCAAATAATATGTTTGAGCGTGTATATATCATGACGTATTGACCAGTTGTTGAACCAGGGACCCTGCGGTTGTGAGTCAACTGCTTTCCAGCTGAGCCGCAGCACATACACTGATTCTGACTGAAAACACTGTATACTACTTATTCCTGTATTTATTCATTTATTTATTTATTGATGTTTTTATTCCTACTTTTATTTATGCTTTTATTTATTTATACTTATGACATGTTCCGACCTCTATATAAGTGAGGTTCTGAGCTCTCTTAATTCCATCGTGTCACCGCCGGGCCCGGGTACAGGAGGGGTAACACCGTTCTTATACATCCATGGGTAATATGAGCGTTGTGGTTCAACCGATCTAAAGTCACGTGGTATCAACAGGCAGCGAGGCTTCGTATGTCATCGATGACGTCACTGGCCCAAAACGATACAAGCCTCGATACAAGCTTCACAAAAAGCTTCAGGGATTACTCGACACACGCTCCGAAGCCTCGGCGCAATACGTAACATCACTAATAGATACAACAAAGACACTAAAATCACAACGTAGACAATCCAAATGACACAAATAATAAAGTTGAGACTTTCGGTTCTATTTGACAAGTAATAAACACTTAATAAAGAGTTCAGTAATTGCTTGCACAAGAGATGCAAGGTCCGGGATATCTTCATCCGAAATAAATGGTTATTTAGAGGTTTTCCAACTCTCTCCCCTGAAATGAGAGAGTTGGATTGCGTTTGATGATGCTGGTTTTCTATGTTAACCTTACAGTGCCACCACTATCAACATTGTAGTGTCGCATATTGTTCCGTTTGTGTCAGCAGCAGGAGAGTACAGCATGCATGTGTAATATATACAAATCCCCCCCCCTCTGTCTCTCCAGATAACGGCCCATTCCTGGGCTCCAGGAAACCCAAACAGCCGTATGAGTGGATGTCCTACAGAGAGGTCAGAGTCACAAGGACCCTCACAAGGCAGGGTTTTTCCTACTTCATAGATTTAGTTTATTTCAAAAGAAAAACATCTATATTTTTCCAGGTGAATTTGTGTAGGCTCCATATTCAACTCTACAGTCAGTTACATACCAACATAACCAACTCTCCATTGTTTTATTTTAAACAAGGTTTTATAATTTTTGAAAAGAAAAGTTCATTATAATATGCAATACATATTCTATGAGCTTTTGGTGACCTAAAAGTGACTACAACATTTAAAATGCGTATCCTATTGTATTCTTTATTTGTTTTATTAAACATTTTTACTTAAATCTTTGTTTATATAAATGTTTTTTTATTTATTTTTATTTCGTGTTGTTAATACATCTAATTAACATCTTAATATTTGTAGTATTTCTCTGAGGTGATGGTGACTTGAAAGTAACATATTTAAAATGTGTTTCCTTTGACAGTAGGCCTACTAGATAACTATCATAATTTGTTGAACAGTAAGGAGCTTGTTTTCTGTTATTTCTGGTCAAACATACATTTAACTTGACTGATTAACATTGTAAAAATATTAATGGCACATTCCAGCACCACCTGAGTGAACAACGGTTGTAAAACCGGCAGCCAATTCAATTTGACGTGTGTGTGTTTCCTTGTTTTAGGTAATGGAGCGATCAGAGAATTTGGGATCCGCGTTTCTTCACAAAGGACACTCCAAGACGACAGACCCCCACATTGGCATCTTCTCTCAGAACAGACCCGAGGTACAGACTGTACCCTGAGGGCCTATTTAAAGGGCAGCTCATTTGCATCAAAATCACACTCCTTCTCTGAGTCATGACTCAGTAACCTCGGTAAAATGATCCGACACATAGACACTCGTGAATATTTTTAGTTTCAGTGTGACTTACGTTTTCCCAGGTCATCATTATTCCAGATGTCTATAATGGCGCGTTTCCACTGCAGCGGGTAGCTCGCTTTAAGCGTGCCGAGCCGTGCGGGGCCCGTTTTTGGTTGCGTTTCCACTTGGCCTAGTTTTGGCCCGGGGCTACTTTTTCACCTTTTTTCTGGCCCGACTAAATCGTGGTTCTAGGGTCAGGAACAACCAGGCTGAGTCGGGCTGAGTATGCTAAACTAGAGGGAGAATCGCTGGCAAGAGGGCTACAACTACAACAAGATGAACATATTTGACCGTGATTTAATTGTAATACACGTTTCAAAATGATGCCGAAGTAACAACATACTGATACCGGTTAGTAAAAACCATGAATTAATGCTTTGACAAGTCTGCAGACAGACGGCAGGCGAAAAACCCTTTTAAAATGCGTGTTTTCTAAATGGAGCTTGGCTAAGCTAACGTTATATATGCTCCGACCGTCCACACTCACAACAACGGCCTATACAGACATAAATAAACCAGCGACTATATTCGCCATGACACAGGCAGTCTGTGGTTTGTACTTGTTTAACTTTTGTCTAGTTTCTGAACAGATATGAAGAGCTGTGAGCTCTGAGTGCTAAGAGCTAATGGCTGTGTTGTTTTTCTGGGGCTCTCATTGAAGATGACGTCACGGCTCCGCCTACACTGCGTTACTATAGTAACTGCCCCAGTTCCTAAACTGTAATGGAAACGCAGCATTAAAGTGAGCCGGGCCTAATAAGGCCTAACCAAACCGAGCGAGGCCGAGCGAGGCCTGCAGTGGAAACGCGCCATAAGAGTGCTGCTGGAATGTTAAAACCCGGAAGTGAGTTAGCCTTGTAGCACTCCTGGTTCCCTCGTCCCACCTCAAATGTTTTTTGAAAGTGTTTTTGGATAGATGTCTTATCAAGGTCTGTGGTTAACACAAGCTAAAGGAATTTTCACATTTTGTTCTACAAACAATGTGTCTGTAAAGCCCCCACTGATGCATGTCTGAAGCTTCTCTGTGTCCTAAAAAACATCAGTTACTAAAGAGTGACTTAATGAGACCAGTAAACGTACCACTCTATTGCGAATAATCTTCAAAATGTCCTTTAAGACATCAGAAAACTCTTTTATTTTTCAATAGTCTCAAAGGAAGTCAACAAACAAGAACTGCTGAACACTAATTTAGCATACTTTTCAGTGCTATTTTGCCAAAATATTAAAATTAGAAGCAAACAAATATTTCTAGGC